CTAACTTCGTGAACTTTACTCCGCCCTGTAAGGATTCATAAACTTCATCTACGGTTGGAATAGGATGATTTACGTCTTTTAGAAATCGATTTAACGTGACTTTATAGTCCGCACATATTCTTACAGAGCCGTCTGGTTTAAGGACTGCAACTAGTGGCGTGCCCCATTCGCTGGTTTCTGCCTGAGTTAAAATGTCCATCTTTACCAATTCGTCCAATTACTTCTCAACCTCGGTTCTCGGTCTTGGCCTACAAAAAATTGGGTTTGCACCTTCGGACAATTCTAACTTCACTTTACCATGCTTGAATTTACCTAACGTGCCATCAAATAGCCCCTTATGTATTTTATGTAGTACGGATTCTAAACTCAAAATTTCTGGTTTTGCCCTTACTTCTTTTTCGGTTGCGTTACCACTTATGTCGTTTACGGTTTTGCGGACAGCTGAGCACCACGAAATCCACCAGCTTTTGCATACCGACATATTCGACCAATGGAGTGAACTCACCCAATACTTGTAGAAAACTACCATCATAGCACTGTAACCTAGCCCGGCTCTTAGTCGTTTTCTGGGAAAGCGCTTTTTGAAAATATGCACGGGCATCACGCTGATGCAAGCGCCGCAATCGATGTCGGCCGACAATGACTCGTTCCCCACATGTACATTTACTGTAAATGGATTAGTTACATTATTCATTATTATTTTCTTGAGCATCAGAATTTAAGCCAAATATTGAAAAATTATCCAACTTGGCTTCCTCCTGTTTGACCGAATTGATGGAATTGACAGCACTCCCAATGTAGTTGGCTCTTTTTGCGCGGCAGATTTTTGCGAGATGCCCCTTAGTTCCGCACTTATGGCACGTGTATTCCGCATATTTGCAGTCTTTCGATTGATGACTTTTCGCTCCGCAGTGGTGGCACTTATCTGCCTTTGCTTCTGTAGTACCCTGAACAGCTTTGCTAACCTTATTTTTGTACGTTTTCTTTTTCAAGAAATTAACCCCTTCTGCTTGTGCTCCTTCGTATTTTTGAGCTAAGTCCACCGCAGCATTCGGTGAAGCTAATTTTTCTCCCTCTTCGCATAGTCTGTCGAACACTTTACCTTCGCCAAACCCCGTAATGAATTTATTTAATACCAAGTTGTCCAGATTTGCGCCGAAAGAACACGTGGCTGCATAGGCTCTCAGGCGTCGTGCAATGCAACAGCAGATTCGTTGTCGCACCTTTTGGCATCGAAAAAACATTTTCTCTCGCGAAACGGTACCGTTTTAGGTAAGTATTGCTTTGACATTAACTCGCACAACTCATTATACGTTTTATTGCTGGGAGCAATTGGATGAACCAAATCTCTTATCAACTTGTAGGCCTCCACTCCGATTACATTTAATAACCTTGATACTTTGATTTTCTCATCGACGATTTCGTTAGATATAAAGAAGTGATCGAGCCGCTTTTTATAAATTATCCAGCTCTAGGATTCTATGAAATTCGACAAATTACCTAACCAAGACATTTTTTTGTTATGTCTTAGTTTCGCAGCAGTTCCCAGCAATTATAGAAGTGTCGACTTATTTTGGTTACGGTTGTGAAGGCTTCCAGATTTTTCTCGTCGCCAATGTGGTGTACTTAACAAGCGAGAGACGTCTTTCCTTATTGGGTGTCGGCAGCCAAAGAGGCATTTATTCTTTTTCATCTTTTGCAGCTACTCTCGAAACATACATATAGATATAGAAGCAGTTATAATATGTAAAAGCAAGGCTGCCTACTCAAATAATATTTGTTCCCCTTAGCTCTAGTGCTACCAACATTACATATATATATATCTCGGTAACCGTTTGTTCAGTGCAGCCGGCGTTATATACGAGCCTCTAAGAAATCGCCTCATGGGAGAAAAGGGAGCAAAATTACTTTTTTTGAAATATAATATGCCCCTTTTGAACTTTGACTACTAGATTAAAACACGGTATAGGTTAGGCACTCGTCTATTGTTCTCATAATTTACAAAATTTTTAAGTAATAAAAAACTATGTTATTCCTATCATTCGCATACGCCCATTCGCATTCGCGAATGTGAAAAATATGACATTCGAAACATCCCTAGTTACCACATAATTATGGACCACCTTAACCGATTTCTATTATTATTATTTTTTTAAGGAAAGGTGTTACCTCAGAGCTGGTCTCATACCAATTTGCCTATGTCCAACCATTAAGAAATTAACGGTTACCTTAAATTTGTATATTAGAATTGAGGTCGGTTTTATTTTTTGCTTAAAAATCACTTGTATAATTATTAGTTCAGTTTATTTATTTTTTTTTAATGAAACGATTCTAATATGGCTTTCCCACGGCACCGCAATTTCGTAGTTCGCTCTCTCATTCGCTCCAATTACCCTTCGAACTACGTACGCACTTGTTGGTAATTCAGATCTAATTACCATGCGAATTACGAACAAATCGCTGCCGTCTCTAATTTTTATCGGAAATTTATCGAAACCAGTTCACAAATCAAAGCTGGCACTTTTTCTGAGTACGAAAAGTAAAGTTTATACATTTGTACATCAACAATTGAATACGGAACTTTATAAATATTTAGCAATTACTAACCTTTTGCATCAATTTTGTAGCAAAGAGGAAAAGACAAAACACAGAGACAGAGAACTGACAAATCGAATTAGGAATGTGCCCGTGAGAATGGGGTAATTCGCGATCGTAATTGGGGGAGCGAACAAAGTAATTCAGAATGCCGTGGGAAAGATGGTTTAACTTGATATATATACCCTGTAGTCAAATGAACCAGTTGTCAACTACTTTACAACTAGTATGACCCGCATGCCCAACTAGTCAGCCAACATTATGGATCGAAACCACTACTTTGGGAGCCAAAAAATAAAATGAGTTCATGAATATAGAATAAACAACGTTTGATTAACTACACTTTAATATAGTACACATTTTATTTTATTTTTTAGATTTGTCAATAATTAGTGTTAAATTTTTTTGAGTATTAGTTAAAAGAAAAAATAAATACATCAACATTTAAACAAATGAAAGTAGCCAAAACTTGCTAAAATGCCTTTTCGCTATTTACACTCTCGCCATCGTATATATTTATTGTGTGTATACATTTTTGCGATGATTTTTCAAGTTTATTCTCTTTGATTTGTTTTAAATAAAACTGTATTAAAAGATGTGATGTCTTTTTATTCTAAAAACAATATTGTATGTTCGGATTCGATGCTTTAGAAATGTCCCGACTTTTGGCCACAGCTTTGGAACCTTCACTCAATTTTATATCCCTAGAACAATAAGTGCAATTTAAGGCCTTTAATTTGAGTCAAGGTAGAAGACTCTAGGCCCTCTGAGAGCCAAGTTATAACAATTTTAAACCAAACTTCGAAACTGCTGTACTAGTTTTTACTCCGAAGTTAGGAAAAAAATTGCGTAAAATGTCGAATGAAATTTCGAAGTTTAACTTCAGAATAGTAATAATTTTGCTGTCCTAGCTAGAGACTTCTACCTTGGCTTAAATTAAAGGTCTTGAAGCAGTAAAACTGACTTGTTGTTCGAGGGATATACAATTTTGTAAAGGATGCACAGCTGCATGCAAATCATAAAAAATGCAATATATAACGCATTTTCCAAATTGAGGGGCTGAAATTTTGTTTCGTTTTTTTAACAATGGAATCGTGTTTCTCGTCTCAAAATTTATAATATGTATTAGTATAATAAAAAATACATAGAATTTTTTTTTTTAAATATATCCTTTGGATTTTGCTTTTTGTTTTTGAAGAGCACTATTTTTGACCAACTTTTTTAAGGTCAAGGAGTGATTGTGGTTCAATGGCAATATTTTTCCTTGAAAGGCAATTCCATTAGCTTTCAAAGCCATTTTGATTCATATCAAAATATTGCTTCTTGCGAAAGCGCTACGATGAATTGGCATGAAGTGTTAATAATAATAAAATTATTGTTTAAAAAACGAAAACCTCGCTATTAAAATTTCCATTCATACTGCCATCAGGTAACCTTAAAATGGAAGTTTAAAGTAATTCCCATTTGTACTGTCATTATATAGGTATCTAACTTGATAATGGAAATTGCTGCATTTTTAGGCGTAATTAATACATAGTTACATCCCAAGCTAATAAAAGCGAGGTAAAAAGCATCCCATACGTTCAAAACGCCATCCGTGAAGTGCAAAATGCTTCTTTTAATATGGGCGTATTTGAATTGAATATTTCCATTATACATAATATACTCTTGAACACTTTTCCCTTGATTTAAATACGTTATTATTTGATTCTACTATTTTTTCTAGATTTAAATAAGAACATTTTTAAACGGCAATAACGTTAAAAAAAATCAAGTTTCCCTAGACGTTTTTCCCCTCAAGTGTAACTTTTTTAACTTATTTAATAATTTGAACTTGGCGTTTTAAATAGGTGGCAACCCTCTTAAAAATATACCTTTTAAAATCCCTTTTGCCTGACACCCATATGTATTGTTATACATATTTCAGTTACCTAATTCCTTTAATTAACGTTGAATTTGATTTTTAAACAGGTGGTAGTCCTCCCACATGTTGTTGAGAAATAGTTGGATTTTTCGAAACCACTGTGCGTCGTTGACGATGCTTTTTTAGAGGAAGGGAGAAAGATCACTCTACGTTGAGCGCTCCCCACTCCGCAGTAAATAAGCCTAACTAAGCTGTTCTCGACTCCTAGCTTATCTAGGGATTTTACTATCGTCCCGGATACAACATTATTGATTGATTACTACAGTGTCCATTAAAACAAGAATCCGGCAAATATCGCAAATGAGTTGTGGATAGAGTACGGTGAAGGTCTGGTTCTAGACAACCTCATATAAATAATGCCTCCAAGTTATATAATCATCAATTTAAATTTTTTCTACGGTTAATCGAGATACGACTTTTTTATCCTGGTCTAATTTCCTTTTAAATTAATTCAACTTTTTTGGAACCGACTTTTTTGCAGCAGCATCAGAAAAAAATGTCCAAGATAACATCAAAGAAGCTAAATGCCGAAGGATCTAAATACCCTGCGCCAATATTCCTTCCAAGTACAACTAAAAACGATTGCACCTTAACAAACATGAATCTGCATCATTTAGGCGCGCTCGTATCGGCGGGATTCGAGGTGTCGGCCATAGTTGGTGAAAATATATTGAACACGAACAACAGCAAGAACGTTAGTGGGCGAATGAATGCGCGAGCGAGAGATAAGCAATACAGCTTGGACACATTTTCCCAGGGACTAGATACGTGCCGCGATTGCGGTGGCAGTGGCATTCCTGAAGCACAGTTACTCAGTGAACAGCATCAGCAAGAACAGCAGCAACAGACCACGCAAGCTAAACTAGTGAAGCAATTCGGGAATCGAGCCATTCCAGAACGTGCACATAGCGAGAGCAGTACAATGCCATACTCTGCTGGGGAAAATCTCAATTCAGCGGGACATAATGTGGTCTACGAATGTGGAAACGAGTAAGTTCATGCTGATCTTATTCTAATTAATATTATTTATTTTATCTGTACAACGCAAAATTTCTTCATCGACCCTTGTTATTTAATATCTAGTTACTAATTTTATTGGAGTTAGTGATTGGAGTGTACGAAATGTGAATACAAATTGTTGGATATCTTCGATACTAGAAAGGTAGCAGTGCAGGGGTGCCTGGGAATGGTAACAAAATCTCCCGAGCCTCAAATCGATTCCAACAAAGCAAAAATTCAAAGATAACACAGAGCCGGTTGTAGGTCGGGTCGAATACAACATAAAAATAGGTTTCTTGTTGTCCCTGAAGTCTCCCATTTTCCAGTTTAAAAATCTATATTTTCGTACTTGATGTACATACATATCGGCGCTGCACCAACAAAAACAGTTATGTGATTTTTATAAATTTTTTTTATTGCATATTTTATTAACACTATCTATTGCCAACATTTCTGCATTTGCCGTTTTCTTATATCCCTTTTGGTTTAGAACTGATCAAAAACAGCTACATATGTGCTCGCAGTACTAGAAATACTCTGAAAAAACGGGTATACGCTTACTTGCTTATAACTGTTTTTGATCGCAGATGAGTGTGCGTTGATTTCGATGTAAAAAATAATTATAAACCAACTAAATACATACATACATATGTATGCACATACGACTTACACTATATAGATTCTACATACTATTTAATTTGACCGCTTGCAATTGAAATTCAACAATTAACAAAGGTAAAAAGTATAGAGGTAGACAGCGTCCACTCTACATTAGAAAACGTATTCAATCCACCGATATATTCACCAATGGACTACATAAGTCGTATGCGACAGGCGAGGCTATCACATCCTTATATTGTTAATTATTTAGAGTATACATATTAAATGATTTCTTGTATTGGATATCACCCATCGAAACTTTGAAAAAGTGCATTATAATAATAATAATAATAATAATAGATTGGCGCTTACACATATGTTAGTGTTTGGCCGAGCTTCTCCTCCGATTTGTGGCGTGCGCCTTGATGTTGTCACACAAAGCGGAGGGACCTACAGTTTTACACCGACTCCGAACGGCGATTGTATTTTTATGAGAAGCTGTTTTTCATGGCAGAAATACACTCGAAGGTTTGCCATTGCCTGCCGAGAGACGACCGCTGTTAAGAAAAAACCTTTTTTCTATATTTTTTTGCGATGTTGCTTTGACCAGGGTTTGAAAAAAAAAAGTTTTCTTAGAGGTCGCGCTGGTCGGTTTTTTATAAAAACGCTGATATTCTGATTTTTTTTATTTTCTTGGCATGTTAAAATGCTGCTAAAAATTTGTTTTTTACATATAATTACTCTGGTATTATTGGGGAACATTCCCTTAATTATATACCTCTCTAGGGAAGTTAGAATGGGCCTAGTGCCCGAAAATATGCTCTCGAAAAGAGATTAGTAAAATTAAAACGTTCATACTGAACGATTTACGCATTGTCACGGGTGTTTCTGGGGTTGCCAATTAGGGATCTGAAGTCAGTGTTTCGAAATTCAAAATGGCGGATCCAAAATGGCGGTCCATTTTTTTTAATGATTGGATTTGTTCGAAGCCCGGCACTCGAGAGTTTTTGTGGTCGTCGACTACGAATCTGAAGTCAATTTTTTTTAATTCAAAATGGCGGATCCAATATGGCGATCAAATTAAAAAAAGTACTAAAATTAAAACGTTGATACTGAACGTTTTAAACATTGTCAAGGGTTAAAACACGTTTCCAGTGGGTTTCTGGGGTTGCTGATTACGAATCTGATGTCAGATTTTCAAAATTCAAAATGGCGGTTAAGAGTTTCAAACAAAACCAATCATTTTTTTAAAGTTGGTTGCCATTTTGGATTTTGAAAATGTGACATCAGATTCGTAATCAGCAACCCCAGAAACCCACTGGAAACGTGTTTTAAGCGTTGACAATGTTTAAAACGTTCAGTATCAACGTTCTAATTTTAGTACTTTTTTAATTTGATCGCCATATTGGATCCGCCATTTTGAATTTAAAAAAATTGACTTCAGATTCCTAATCGGCGACCCCAAAAACAGGTGTGTAATTAAAGGAAAGCTCCCCAATAATACCAGAGTAATTACATGTAAAAACCACATTTTTAGCTGCATTTTAACATGTCAAGAAAATACAAAAATTGAGAGCATCACCGTTTTTATAAAAATCCGACCAGCGCGACCTCTAAGAAAATTTTTTTTCAAAATAAAAAAATACATGTTTTTTTATCACAAATAGCAATATTCTGATGTAGCGTTTTTGAATTTCCAAAAAGAGTGTTTTTATGAACCACTCTAATATACAGTGTATATATTATACACACACATAATTTCATAATTTCAAGGCAGGCAGCATTTGAGAAAAAAATTCCTAAATTCAAATTCTGTATCTGTTTTTAATAAATAGGGCATCAATTTGTTCGATAATTTGTTTTTTTTTTGTATAATGTGTATTTATTTATTGAATCTTGCTTTCGAAACTATCAATAAGTTTTAAAATCTTACAAACTACTATTAAATTCAAAATTTCTACGTCAATACTTAGAAATTTTTTTATTTTTTCATACATATATATTTATTACAGCTGTTGCGGCTGTCGGAATGGACAAGATTCCGAGCAGCAGGATCACTGGATATCGTGCTGGGCAGGCGGTCTGAAAGGACAAGTTCCAGAGCCGCACTGCCTGGGCAGGTGGAAAGGACTAGTTTCCACGCCGCGCCTTCGCTTCTCTATATTAAGTACCCTGATTTTGGCTAGTTGGTCTCTAAGGACGAGTTCCAGAGCCGAAATTGATATATTGTGGATATCGAAATTTATTATATTGCGCATCATTTGATAATATCGGAGATATCCTTTCTTTTTAGTCTTCTTGCATATCTAGGGAAGATCTAAGAAGATCTCTCGCTAGTCGATTTGGATGGTTCATTAA